CTGCATTTACTTAATAAATACTTATACTTATGTAAGGATTATGGACTTAATAAGTCCATACATTATTATTTAAAAAAAAAAAAAAAAAAAAAAAGACTTGAGGATCTCCAAGACTTTTGTTGGCACTCTTACTTCAAACATTCTATTCAAGATTCTTGTTTTTATCCCACCCTAAGCACATGGCTTATTATACCTATATTTCCCACATGCTTTCCTAGTTATGCCTTTATGATATGAGCTTTCTGAGAAACAGACCTATCTCTGCTATTACATGTGTTTAGTGTTCAGTATATCAGCATGCATATTGGGGTTGTAAGTGCTTACAAAATTTAGGTAAAATGTGGATGAGCAACACATTTTGTAGCTTTGGTAAAAATTACGCGTGAAATTCCTTCAACCCTTGCTTTTCCCACTTTTTATTTTCATTCTGTTATATATACATATTTAAACTCTCCAAACTCTCCATCCCGAGCATAAGAACTAGTTTTACCACAGCCATGTAGGAATTATATTTTAACTTCTCGTACTGTGTCAAAATATTTTTTCCTACGTAAAATATCTATTTCCTTACACCAATAAATTCACGATTCAAAAATATAAATGGGGTTATTAGCCCCTCAGTTCAATTCTCTTACTCTGATGCATGTTCTTAATTTGCACATAAAAATTATTCTAAATTACAAGCTATATTTGAGAATGTAAAAGAGGAAAAACTGAATCATCATGCATAATCCTTCCTTTAGTTAGCCTGTTTCTTCCCTTAGCTCCATTCAGATTAAAGAATTTTAGGAGAATATATGAAAAAAGGCATTACAAAAAAGGTGAAACAATGCTTCTAAACTTTCCAAAAAGTTGTTTTTTTTCTAGAAGCAGCTTAAGGCTTAAAGATTTTCTCGGTGTTCACAAAAGGAATCTGACAGAACAAAACCAGGGATTATCTGCCACTATAAACTACAGCTTAACCTCATCTATGCTCACAAATATATAAGGAAATGAATATTCACTATTTGGAAATTTTCTTTCAATAAGTACTATGAAAGCATTGTTCTACAAAAATATTGAGGATTCTGTAATCCAGTGATCAAAATGACATGGAAGGAAATGTAGAAGAAGAAAATAGAATAGAGATGTTTTTAATTCAGTTTAATTATATTAACAATATTAAGGTATTATGCTTCACATTGCAGAACAGTTTGTCTACCTGCCTGCCCTAACTCATGGACCTTTCTAGCTTTGTTATTCTACCAAATCAGAGGAATGCATTCCTCTGCATAGCTGCAATTCACATTTCTAACAGCAAATACCCACCCAAAGACTGAAGCGTTTTGGTTGTCACCTTCTATTTTGTCTTTAACTCTCCTTTGAGAGATTCTTAAAAACTGCACTTTTTGTTCATTTATTTATTATCTGATTTGTTTTTTTTTTTTTTTTTTTTTCCCTCATATATCCTTATTTAGTATTTGAGTTTTGGTCTCACTTCTAATTTATTAGGCATCTATCACATGCCTAAGAGCCTAG